GAGACAATGTGGTGGATGGGTGGGTGGCAATGGAGGTCGAGGCCGAGTGCTGGACTGTACGGATTTACCACACGTTGTTACATATATAGTATTTTCTTTTTCCTTTTCCTTTTTGGGTATGAAAAGTTGGATAATTGGATGGGGTGTGAATGATTGAGTCGCTTGGGACCACTTGTTTAATATATCCACAAAATTATTGATCTTTTGGTTAATATTCGAAAAATTGAAAATCGATATAGAAACAATGGTGAAATGCAAACCTCACCCTATGTCAACTAAGGGGGTGGTGTAGTCAAATTTAGATTTGACAAGATTTTAAAATCCTAGTGTAATCAACCAATGAATTTTAATGGATTCGTTAAAGTTCCCTTAGAAATGAAAACTAATGAAAATAGTTTGAAAACTTTGAGTTTTAATGATAAGAACAAAATAAATGGTAAAATGAATAGTATCATGATTGACTTTTTAGTGTAAAAATGTGATTTTTTGTTAAATGAACAGTACCGGGTATTTTTCGTTAAAATTCCTTTTTAGAATCCATGTAAATCTAGGTGTAGTCAATGGAGATTTTAAAAGTCAATTTTAAAGTCCATCCAAATCTAGATGTATTTAAAAATTAAAGATTTTGTAGGATTTCATTAAATTGTGGATTTTATGGGATTTGAAAAGAAGAAGTATATAACTAAAACTAAATAGAATCCTACCTCACATCATAGGATTTCAGATCCACTTTTAAACGACCCCTCTTCTTCTCACTGCCAGCCACTTTCTTTGCTTTATCTTCTTCCTTCATTTTTGCAATTTTTTTTCTTCAATTTTTGTTGTTGGGTTGCATCATTTTTATGCGATTTTTTCTTTAATTTTTTGTTCTTGGGTTGCAATTTTTTCGTCATGTCTACAACGTTTTCGTTGCTGCTGGGCACTCCTGCTAATTGCTGCTATTTTTGCGGCATGGTTCATGTGTTGAGAGCATGTTTGCTTATTTATGTTTTTTTTTTTGAGTACCATGAATGAATTCGTTTAATTAATAAATATTAAAAATACTCTTGGATAACTAAATCAAGCCCTTATATACCTGAATACATAATGTGACAACGAAAATTATAAGAATAAAGTGAGGGAGGAAGTAGGATTGGAAATGGGTGCACTGGGGATCTTTGAGGAGTTGGGTTTATGTGATAATCTTGACTTCTTTTTTTTCGGCTCCAAGGGATGCAGATGCAGAGCATGAACAGCTTTATTTGATTAGATTTATGACCTATATGCATATATTACCATTTGATTTATTTGATGGTTAAGATTCAACGCTACAAAATCTTTCATAATCCATAGAAATTTGTTATACTAATCTTCCAAAATCTATAGGATTTTGTAGAAGTCTATATAATCCTATGAAATCCATCACGTATCAAAATCTATAAAAATTCAGGAAAACTAATTAAAAGGGCTTGAAAACTTTGAGTTTTAATGATAAGGACAAAATAAAGGGTAAAGTGAATAGTACCAGGATTGACGTGTAAAAATGTGGTTTTTCATTAAAGTGAACAGTACCGGGTGCTTTTCGTTAAAGTTCCCTAAAAATTCTCTCAATTCCCAGTCTGACTACACCCCCTAAATATACGAAAATCAATGAATATCAACGATACTTACCGATTCACTATAAAAAAATTTACCGGAACCCATTACATATTTTGAACTTTTGAATTTGTTTTTCTAATTTCAATTAAATTTGAATGAGTTGGTATACATATTCATTGCAAATTTTCATAATTTCTATCGAGGCAACATTTTTTAATTTATTATTATTAAAGGAGGGGAAGGGTCCGAAAACATTACAATAATTTAAGAGATGAGGGAGTTTTAAATTCAAAACGAATGAGCAGAAACTCATCATCCTATTTACTGGGATATCAAACACATGCAATAATTGATATAATTCATCGATATTTCAATGAATTTGCATATCAATATTCCACTTATATAGATATTTTAAACCATGCTTGAGAGAGGATGTAAATGGCTCACCGGTGGAGTATGATTGGACCACTTCTATATGCGCACATATTCCGTTTGCTTTTCTTTTATATTACATTCTAAGATTCAAAGTTATAACCCCTTCAAATTCTAAGACGAGAAATATGATCGAATCACTTGGTTGCAAAAAGAAATTAATGTCTCTAAAATGTTAACGGATTCATTAGTTTGCTTACGCACACTCGTGAATAATTGTGAATTAGTGACTAATGAATCTTGTACTAGAAGGACTCACCAGACACCAGATAACAGTTAAAAATTGATAAGTATTAGGTTGACATGGCACACCCTAACCTATTGCAACCCCTAACCTATTGAAAGAACCCCATAACCCCAACCTAGTATACAGCAGCAATCAACTGTATAAGAATAGTTAGTCTCACATCAAAGAGGATGTTCATGATGTAACAACCCTATAAGAATAGTTAATCCCACATCGGAAACGAGTAAAAACACGGCTCTCTACTAACGTATAAATAGAATTTATACTCCAGTTAAATGTTAAGTCAAAAACTATTTTATAAGTATAGTATTTATAGCTATTTAGAAGTCATGTCTTGTGTTCAACAACTGTAGACACCATTTAGTCATTTGGCATCTCTTTTTCGTACTTTTCTTTGGACCAAGAAAGGGAAGGAAAAAAGGATGCCAAAATGCTAAAATGTCGTCTGCATATTAATTAGCTTAAATGGAATTTCGGTAAGTGTTTTCTATCTCGATTTCAACTATTGTCATTGTGGTTTTATTTTTGCCAATTTAATTGTCCACATGTGGGAGTCGTTCAAGCATGCAGCTGGTCCTCGGTTCATCGGGCATCTAATGAAGCGGCATATTATGTTGCGTTCGATCAAGGATCGGAGAGGAGTGATTTTGCTTCGGTTGTTAGACCCCCATCGTATGTAAAGATCTTGAACAAGAATGGGTTTTCATGTATGCCAATTGATGGAAGTGAGAGAGAAAGTGTGAGGGCTATGTGTAGCAGTGTCTTTCTACTTCTCTTTCCTTCTTTCTGTTATGTCTGTCTGTTTGTTCGCCTTCAATTTGGCTTTCTGTTCTTTTGACGTTGCCCTGGCGACGAATTCCAGCTTTACAAAAAAAAAAAAAAGTAATTTATTTTTGCTTATTTGATAAAGATGTTTGAATCTAAAATATTTTTTTTTATTAATGATGAATTGCTCTAGTGATTAATTCACCCGTCTCGCAATAAAAACCGTCTCCCCTCTCCTTAGACTAGATTCGAGTAATTCGCTTGTATTAAAAAAGTTATTAAAAATTAATTATTGTTCTTATATTTTGTGTTAACAAATTATTGGAAACTGTGACGGATTGAGATTACAAGGACGACATAAATAAGCATGTCAATGAATGTGGTGAAGGACGACATTGATGAGTTTATAACATAAAGGTCGTGTATTATGATTATTATCTTCCACTTTGTGGAATTGACTATACTCGCATGTATTTACAATAATCATCATCTAACAGTCAAATATAATTTATATTAATATATGTATTTAATACAATTATTATCTAACTGTCGAGATAGTGATTGTATTCATGACGTTGTTAACAACACTGAACAAGGTCCTCGCAATCGTAAAGTACTTTCTTGTGGAGATATTACTCAATTATGGCTCGTTTGGAAGTGCTTTTAAAATGACTGAAAACATTTTTTATGAAAATGTTTTTAAATCAATCCCTAGTAAAAATCCAAGAGGATCCTGTAAAAAACTCTTAAAGTATTTTCTGCAAGAAGTATATGTGCTCTTTCCAAAAAGCACTTAAAGTGCAATTGGAACCCATAATCAATTTCACAAAAAAAAACAGTTTTAAAAGCACTTTTAAACGAGCCATTATTCTTTAAAAATTGCTTATATTAGGTTAAATGTTTTTGCACCGATAAAGAAAACTATTTCCCTTTTTTTCGTTTTTGGGTAATATAATAATTTTCGCACTCCCCTTTTTACCTCCAGCCCTTCACTGTTGATTCATTTCATGATTTTTTTAACTCTTTCATACAATGAATAGAAAGAAAAACAGGTAGGTCAAAATCAGTCCTCTCGTGGGTATGCTATGATATGAACTTATATTTGCTCACCTACACTAGAAAAACTTACATAAACTGGGTATACTGTAGTGTGGCGTCTTAATCCAATAATGCACTATTATGTGTAAATTTTTTTCTACGTGCCAATTCACATTGGAGTATGATTGAATCACTTGTAAATAGGCATGTGCTGTTAGGACTGAAGCTCTATTTATTTTCTTTTATATATTACGACGTGATGGGATTTAAAGTTGAAACCTCGCCAAATTTTAAGATAAGAAATATCATCAGATCAATTGGATGAAGTAAAGAAATGAATATGGCCCTAAAAGATTTACGAATTTCATTAATTTGTTTATGTACACACGTGGAAGATTATGAATTGGTGCTAACGGATTTTGTACTCCACGGGAGATTTTATGTTATTATACAAGTATAGAGAGGTTTTTTTTTTTTTTTTTTTTTTTTTTTTTCACTCAAATAATTGTTAAAAATGAATAGGTACTAGACTCAAAGGGCACACCCTACCCACAATGGGTGGGTAGGTAATAAGTTATTCTCTTTGTACAAGTTCACCCATTTGGAAGGAGCACGGATAAGAACGATTACTATTCACAAATATATATTATTTTTTTCTAATTTTCTCTTCGTCTTATCCTCCACATGTCATTATTGCGTAAATTTTTGTTTAATTTGAAAGTGTACTAAACTTTGTAAGATTTTTAATTGTGAATTTTTGTAAGTTTTTTGAATTTTTTAAAATATATATATTTTTTTTAGAATTGAATTAATTATGGCCGTTGAATTTTTCAATTTTTAAAATCAGAGGCTCCACAAAACGCATATGGTGCAGCATCAAAATTTTCAATTTTTTTAACTGTCCTAATCAACAAATCGTTGGAAATCCTACCGCTGTAAATGTATCAAATCTGAGCCATTTGGCTTTGGTGGGCTTCACGTAGGAGAGCCCCCTTGTCGTATGCTGCACTTAACGCGGGCGCAAGCCTCGTCAATCGTTGGCAGGGCAGCCGCAAGGGCTCCGACCTTTCATCCAATTACTTCTCATTTTCTTCACTGGTGGCGGATCCACAGTGGGGTCGTCGGGGTCGCACGACCCCTTGGAAACCATGGAAACAACCTTGAAGCTCCCATATGCGACCTCTTGGAGCTGGGGTCGTCGGGGTCGGACTCGCACGCCAACTGTTCGACAAAAAGCCTGAACGAAGACTCGGCAGGAAGAGGAAGATATCACTTCGGTATCTTTCTATTTGGCATTGTGGTAATCTAACCTCTTTGCCACGTGATATGAGTTATCTTGCTACATTACACACTCTATTGATATGGAATTGTGAGCAGCTTGATTTGGAGAACGGAAACTATCAACTAATTCCATTGAGGCTCCGAAGATTTTCTATTGCGGCAGCACCAAGGATGGTGGCATTGCCCGAATGGTTGCAGGGAGCTGCTAACACCCTACGAGTCTTGTGTATTTGGGATTGTGAAAACTTGGATGCATTACCTGAGTGGTTGACAAGTTTCACATCCCTTAGAATACTTCACCTTAGTGAGTGTCCAAAATTGGTTTCTCTACCAGAAGGGATGCATCCACTCGAAGTTAAAATAGAGCATTGTCCTCAATTGAAGAGGGGAATCTAGTGCGAAATCGACGAAGATTGGCAAAAGATTTCTCATGTTCAAGGGGGCTGGGTCTGCTGTCTTTCCCCATCTATCTCCAAGTTTCTTTTTTGGCAGCACATATACTTGTCTTGGGACTGCCTTGTTTTGATTGTATCATGCTTTCATTCGTTTTATGTAGTTTCGACTGCTTGTATCTCTTAACCTTTGGGTTTGTTGTATTTACCAAAAATAATAAAATAATAAAAACCAAAAAAAAAAAAAAAAACACCCTTTTGGGTGTGTAAATACCAATGTGTAATTTATTTTTTTCTTTAATTTACATTTTTTCAATTATGAATCTATATCGGTCAAAAACTCAAAAACTCTCATGCTCTAGCTAATGCTGCACAATCGAATTCTGAAGAATCAAATCATGGTTGTTTCTATTTGTAGTATATACCACCCAAAATTATAGTTTGCATTAACACGTTAATCAGCAGTTAATCTACTATTGAGTGTTCAGCACTGAAACTACTAGTTCTTACTATAATACCATATACACTCCACTTTTATATTGAGAGAGATAGCTTGCTTGTTTATATTGAGAGAGATATTTTTGCTTGTATTGAAAATGAAACTATAATGCTTCGTTTTCAAAATATGAAACCTCGTCGTGGACAATTATAGTTTGTAATATTATTTCCATTGTGAATTATGAATGAAAGTACTATGATTTCATTTTCAATATGTTTTTCCATCCTAAATTTTTATTTGAACTTTTACACTGCGACCCCTTGGGGTAAGATTCCTGGATCCGCCACTGAGAGCCATTTTCTTTTGGCAACAAGACAGTTCAACCCAATTGCAAGGACAGCCTCACATTGAAGAAGATGCTCGTGATGTAACAACTATATGAGAATAATTAGTTCCACATCGGAAATAAGTAAAAACACGGCTCTCTACCAATTTATAAAAAGAATTCATGCTCCGGTTAAATGTTAAGTAAAAATTTACTTTATGAGTGTAGTATTTATAACTATTTAGAAGTCAGGCCTTACGTTCGGCAACAATAGACGCAATTTCAGTCATTTGGCATCTCTTTTTTTTTGTTCTTTTCTTTGGACTGAGAAAAGAAAGGAAAAAAAAAGAATGCCAAAAGGCTAAGGTATCTTCCGCATATTATGTAGTTTAAAAGGAATTTTGGTAAGTGTGTTCTATCTCAATTTCAATTCTTATCATTGTGGTTTATTTTTGTCAATTTGGTTTTGTTAGCATTGTAAGGAAAATTATGAAATTTTGGTAATTATTTAGATAGAACCCATATTTCGAGGATTAAAATCTGGTTGCTTTTGTGAAATTCTTTTCTCTTGAGAGATTGGAAGGGCCTCTAATGAAGTGGCAAATTATTTTGTGTCGTATTAAGGAGCGGAGATGAACAATTTTGGATGGGTCATTATAGTCTCATCTTCGTTTGGCAGGATTTTGAACAAGAATGGCTTGCCATGTCCTCCATTTGATACGAGTGAGAAGTGTGAGGGTATGACGTCAGGGCTATGTGTTCCGTGTTCGAAAATTATTGGTAATTTTGACAAAATGAGACTACAATGACAACATAGATGAGCATGTCAACGAATGAGGTGAAGGACGACATTGATGAGATTATAACATAAGGGTCCTATACTATGATTTTCCAATACTTCAAAGATCATTTATAACCCAAGATGTCCCCAGGGGGCACTCTATATGTACCATGTATGTAGTACTTGTATTTATCTTATACTTTGTGGGACTGACTACAATACTTGCATGCACGTACTACAATCACCATCTAATGTCAAATATAATTTATGTGATTGTATTCATGATGTTTTTAACAACATTGAATAACGTCCTCGCAAAGTACCATCATATGGAGACATTAAGCAATTATTCTTTAAGAAAATGCTCTTAATAGGTCAACTTTTTTTCACCGATGACGAAAATTCTTTCCCTTTTTGAGATTTTGGGTAAGAGTAATTTTCACACTTTCCTTTTTACCTCTTAAGACTTCCTTGTTAATTCATTTCATGATTTTAATTCTTTCATCCAATGTCTAAAAAGGATAAGGGGAGTGTAGAAATCAGTCCCCCAATGGGTACGCTATGAAACGAACTTATATTTGCCCACCCACTCTAGAAAATCTTACACAAAACGGGTATACTGCGATGTGGCGTCCTAATCTAATAATGCATTACCATGTGTTAATTTTTCTCCAGATGTCAATCCAATATTAGACCCACAATGATAATAAACTCGTTTCATGTAAATTGTTCTCCGTCTACACTCACCAAGTTCATCTATGACCAGAAAACTATGATTTACATCTGAAAAAGGCATTCACAATGGGAATCAACACACTTGCAAAAACATCATATGGGTTATACATCTTTAAATATTATAAGCCCAAAATACGCTGAGGGGTAGAAAGATGGTAAAATCTATCTACTCACCAGCCCATCAAGGTTCTTCTAACTCTATCTGCAATCTGATTCTTAGCTACCATATTTGATAACTGAAAGTTGTGGTTCTCTTCCAGCAAAAAGGTATACACCTCCCATTCACGATCTGATGCCGCTACCCTCCCGATTTCGGCCTGAAAGACGAGACAACAAACTGTTAAAAGTGTTACGAAAATGGATTTGGTAAATACGCCAAGAAGTGCAAGTATTTACTTGAGTTAGTAATTCACAAAAGATTTGGTAATTCTGAATAACTTTTAACTTGTTGCGGAGTTTTCTTACAGAGAAAATGCATATCCCAAGTGTTTTTAGAGCAGTTGTAACATCGTAGAAAACTCGTGGTCTTCCCTTTCCAGATAGCTCAACTGGATTAGCAACTAACAGTTCAGTATCTGGCCCTCGGTTTGCAATGATAACACGTAATGGGTGAAGCATCTCCACCTTCAACCGCAAATACAGTGCACTCTGCTTATCGGGATCGACAAACTTTTTCCCATCATTTTGCTGAATGAATAGGTCTAAATCGCGATAGCCTTTAATATTTGGAGAAATTCTACCATAAGCTATCTGAACAAGAAGAGATTTTGGATTAGAAAACTACTAACAAAACTGCCAATCATCATAAGTTGGCAAGGATAGAATAAATCCTTATATGTAGCTTACAGAGGAAAAGAAAGAATTAGACCCAACATTACAAGTGCAGGCAAGTCATATTTAGATGTATCACCAAGATGTATAGGACCAAAAAGCAATCATCTGCGGTTCTGCATATGGATAGGTCGTACCCAGTGCACAAGGCTCCCGCTTTACGCAAGGTCTGGGAGAGGTGAATGTCGGCTAGCCTTACCCCCATTTCCCATTATTTTTTTCTTTGGTGAGAATAATAACCTCTCAGAAAAGTAAGACCATTCTTTTCTCATCACCCCTTCTCGGGGTTGAGGTCAAGACTCGAGATCCATTTTCATTCCCATGTAGGGAAACCTATCAACTAGGAGCGGCAACAAGTAAAATCTCTGTCATCTCCCGTTCCAGAACCAGTAGGCTCTGACATAGGCTAACCAAACTAATACTACAAAGTATTCTAAACTAAAAAAAAATACATTGATGTTCTCTGGCAAAATAGTGTAGGGGAAGAGAAGAATTTCTACCTTGATATTGCAGTCTTTCAAAGTTCTCAGAATGTCATACAAGAGACCTTTGTGGTCAGCACAGTGGATTTGAAGTAATGTATGAGCAGGGCTCAAAGAATTGTCCATGGTCACATTGGTTTTCTTCAACTTTGTCATATCTGGGCTAAGAGCTTGAGACCGGGTTTCTTTATCCAATAACTCACATCTAAATAGCTCTTCAGCCACCACAGGAGAAAGGGAAGGGATTCCATGGAGGGATTCATATTCGGGACCTACCAGCTGAAGTTCGCAGCTGATACATGACTCACCCAAAACATCACGCAATTGTTTTATTGTCTCATCTTGGCGTTCCTTTGTGTGTAAAAGGTCCCTGAAATGAGAATGTAGGTCATCTCGATTATAAATAGCATCAAGATTCCACCTTAACTGACTTGTTACATTTAATAAAATCATCTAATGACCAAGAAAGAAACGACCAAAACATTTACAACAATGACATGTTTGAGAAGCGATCAAAACATGGAAGTTCAGCAAGAGAGAGATAATGGGACGGCACGCTTGTCCAAATGATAACAAAGAAAAACCATGGTTTCCATAGTATTAGCTCTAGATAAGCTATGTCATGTAGGACTTGAATAATTTGTCATTTATTAACCATGTAAAAAACTCCAAGGCAGCACAATTCAGTAAAGAGTTCAAACAAAAGACGAATATAGAAACTGTAAAACTTTTTGTCCAAAGTGAGCGATTTAGTGACCGAAAATCGTTGAACCTTTAAGACATTATGTCAATGCAGTCAGAAATTCATTTTTTACGTAATAAGAACAAATTTAACAATAATCAAGAAAATTTCTCAAATCCTCAAATTAAAAACAATGACAAAACCAAAATTAGAAGTCCCAAGGCAAAACTCACGTGTTATCTGTTATAAAGAAGAGGTCCAAGACCCTATCATCTGGGGTTGTCGTAACTTTCACTCGCTGAATCGAAAGCTCAAGCTCTGAGAGAGTTTTTGTAACATCTAAAAGAAACAAAGTTAAGGCAACATTGAATTACAAGTCAGAACTACCTCAAAACAATTAAGCAATGGAGGTGTGGCAAATTTCCGTTACCATGCAACAATCCCTTGCGGTCGAGGCAAAGAAACGTCAACAGATAAACTGGTGAGGACGACGATCTTGTGGCCTGCTGGTACAAGTAAAACGGCACTGAACATGATGGGCATACAGATTGTAGCTGGTTCTTCAAATTTGACAATTTCACAACTGGGGAGCTGGAATCCGGAAACACCCATAACACTATGTAGCACCATATCCCATCAGTCGAAAAATCTACACCAACAAATTTCACCCCACAAAAACACATGAGCATTCAAATTAACACACAAATTGAATCACATTAATCCCTAAACACAACTAATTATCACTAATCCACAAGATTAGTCAAAGACAAAAATCCACATGGAAGATGGAACTGAAAAAAATAAAAATTAATTTCTAAACAGCATAAATCACTATCATATACAATTGCTCGATTGTTATGTTAAAAAAATGAGATTAAAAGTTTGCAGAAAGTACCTGCTTTTTCTATTAGAAGGCCAAAATCGAGGATGATTCTGCAAATATCGCACCCGAGGCCGGTCTTGTCCGGGCAATTGACGGTGATGATGCAGGGCTCGCCGGGCCGCCTTCCTTTCTGGATCACAACGACGTCGTCGCTCGGCACACCCATACCGGAAACCCGAGGAAGACCGAGCAAAATGGCGCGGTAAATTTGACGGTGCCAAGAGTTTCGGGATGGGGTGATATGTGGAGGCCCTCCACCGGTGGACCGGTGGTTCAGGTGCCACTAAAATAGTAGAGGCTCAAAGTTTCCGGAAATAGGCGGGCGTGATCTTTGGGCTTTAATTGTGACCTTTCTGGAGTCGACGTTTGGTGCCATCAGAAAATCCACGTCGTCTTTACACGTGGCGGCCTCTGAGTCTTTTAAAAGTGATTTTAAAAATTGTCACATGAGTCACGATGACGGATTTGGATTCCATCCAAATTCAAATTGTAAGACATCTTAACCATTTATCATACATTATGCGGTTATAAATTATTTTGAATTTTTCATTTCAGATTAAACACAACTAATACTTAATGAAAACTGACCGTATAATATACGATAAACAGTCTTGATGTGAGCATCCTAAGATCCTCACAAAAAAATCGGGAGAAGATCCTCATCCACTACCATGTGACTTGTGAGAGGGATGGTAGGAACTGGAAAGTGACTCTTAAAATTATGTGCTTATTAAAATTTTAAAATTAAATTATAAATAGAGAAAATATAAAGTAATAGCTAAAATAATTTTTGTGATGTTTATAAGATGATGTTTGTCGCTGAAGAAGCTATTTATATATTTAGCCACGGTTAACAATTTCGTCTCGATTATTTTTATTTTTATTTTTTAGTGAAACGATAGCGTTAGTAAGTTAAATGTTAGATTAGTCACCGACGGGGTTCGAACCTATGCCGTCATGCAAGAGCAAAAAAACGTGGGGAAACAAAATGAGGGCACCTGAGTTTAAGGCTTTGAACAAAATAGTAAGGTTATTTTGTATTTAATTTACTAAAGTGAGTGTTCGTAAAGTTATTTTTGCAAATATTTTTACAAGAAATTTGGTATTATCTTTTGACAAATTCTAAATTACTCTAAGAGGCAATTGCAATCAATTTTGCTAGTCTAGGACATTATTATGAATCTATGACATTTGATTTAATCACTTGCCATCTATTCTATTTTTTCTTTCAAAGAAAAATTTGCACCACGATATTATTTTCATCCTAATTAAATTGTTAACGTCCGTAATAATAGAATAATTGAAAAATAGTTCAAGCAGTAAAACAATTAAAATTTTAATTTCAAAATAAAAATTTTCGTCAGCTCCCCTTTAATATTTTTTTTATACTCACGATGTATCTAGAATTTTCGACCAAGAACCACAATTTGAGATATGATTGGCTTCCCTTTGTCCAAAAATTAAAAAAAAATATGATTGGCTTCCAATCCAAGAAAAGATAATGTCCGGTCAGCCACTACCCTAAACCCTAAACCCATTTGAAATAAGAAACCCTAATTTTTTTTCCAAATGGACAGAGATACCAGCCGGATCTCACCCCATCAAATCCTAAGGATCCAATGATCCGAACCCTTGAAATTTAATCCAACGACTACAAACAAAAAATCATTCAATAATAATAATTGTAACCGTTGAATTAAATTTTAAAAGTTCAAATCTCCAAATTCTTAAAACTTAGTGGGAAAATTCCGGCTGAGATCTCTGTCCGTTCCAAATTGCACACCCACATGTTAAATTTAAATTCAAAACTGAGTTTAAATAATTTGCTTTATTGGGGTAGTAATCTAACAACTTTATCTCCAATAAACTTTCACACTGCTCCAATTATTTTCTCAGAAGAACACCTAAGAATGGAATCCTTATCAACACCAATATACTTTCCCTCTACTCGTGATTTTCTCGGCAACCAAACAGATTTCACAGAAGAAATTAACCACAAAAACAAAAGAAATTGACAGCAATAAAATAAGGCAAAGATTTACTAACAGGTCGAACTTATATTACTTCAAAATAAGATTACAAATTACATAAACACTAACCGTTACCAACAAAATACAAATTAAACCCAAAGATCTAAAGCCCAGATCCTAAGCAAACCTAACCCTAATTCCCAAAATAATGACATAAAATTCCCAATTTAACCCCCGAAACCGTATAGGGTCCTTCCCTGCCTCTTCAAAGCATACACGACATCCATGGCGGTCACAGTCTTCCTCCTGGCGTGCTCGGTGTACGTCACAGCATCACGAATAACATTCTCCAAAAAGATCTTCAGAACTCCTCTGGTCTCCTCGTAGATCAGACCGCTGATTCGCTTAACACCACCTCGGCGAGCAAGACGGCGAATAGCAGGCTTGGTGATGCCCTGGATGTTGTCCCTCAGAACCTTACGATGTCGCTTCGCACCTCCCTTGCCCAATCCCTTGCCGCCCTTTCCTCGTCCTGTCATTTTCTCAGGAAAATTTTTGGGTAAGAAATTGGAGTTGATTTGGTAGGTTGATCGACCGACGGGTTTTGGGTATTTATATCGTGGGGAGTTTGGGTTTTGGTATTTTGAAGGGTTGGCGGGGGGCTATCTGGGCCGTTGGATGCACATGCTTATCGAAGGCTGCGAGAGTCGATCCGCGTCGTATTGTAAAAGTGAATCTGCGACGTTGCTGATGTATGAATCTACGGTCCGAAACTCCACGTTTTTGGGCTGGCACGGATTGTGCTTTTTAGTGAGAGTGATTTGGCGGTTTTTGAAAGGCGGGTCGAAGAGCCCGGGAGGGAGTTGTGCCATTTTTGGGTTTGAAATTGAGTTTTCTTTTGTTGTTGAAATTTTTGGGAAAAACTAGAGCGCAGAACGTGGCAACGCACGTGCCAAAACCCCTCCACTTCATCCATCTCTCTCCATGAACTAAAAGTGGAATTTAGTATTGGTTCGGTACTAAGATAATTTTATAAAAAGTGTGCATAAAAAAAAAAAAATTAAACTTAAAAAGGTATTTGGTAAATATTTAAAAATAGCTTATTTTCACAGTTTTAGGTGAAAAAAGCTAAAAACGTGAAGCAGCAAAAATGAGCTTATTTTCACAGCACAACAGAAACAATTTTTTTTTTAAAGCACATCAATACAAAATCAGCCCTTACTGGACGTGAATATTAAGTGAAATCATTAGAAATTTTAAGAGAAGAAATCCAACAGAAAGCGTAATACAGACATCATTAGCACTATTGAAACTAATAAAATTATTAAATCACGGTCTACTAGTCAGAATGTCTAATTAAAAATAACATAGATTAATATCAGTTCATATTGTAGAAGAATTCATCATGAATGAGTTCGTGCTTCAATCTTCATTGTAGAAGAATTCATCATGAATGAGTTCGTGCTTCAATCTTCTTTGAGTACTGTTGATGTACAAAATCGGAGGTCTTGGAACAACGTAAATCCGACCGTGAATCTGCAAGAAATGTAAATAACACAAGATATATCGTGGTTCACCCCAAGGTTTAGGCTACGTCCACACTGATTGTATTGTATTTCTCTGAGAAATTAGGGAGAGAGAGATCTCTAAGAGTGAGAGCGTTGAAAGGGTGATGAGCCTTAGGAATTGGCCTCAGAAATGGCCTCCCCTAATTGTGAGGGTAATGGGTCCTTTTATAGAATAACGACTCCTCACTTATTACATATTTGCCCATTCCTTTATTACATAATTACATTTAAGTCCCTCGAGTATTTATACGAGGTCTAAATATGAGGCCCTAAATATGGTATAAACAGTAGTCCCCCAAGTCTTCAGTCAAGAGAATATTTTGGCTGAAGACTTGAAATTCAGTCCATGTGTGGGCCGAGGTAACTAGATGTTGTATTGAACTGATGCTCGATATGAGGCGGTGCTCAATCTGAAATGATGTTCAACTAGAAGTAGCACACGCTGCGAGGTTGCTCGGCTCGTGGCTTATGATGCCTTGGTTGGCTCGGCTTGTGGCGTTTGAAGGTGAGGGAGTCCCTTTTATAGAATAAGGGCTCGCTCCTCATTACATGAATGATGGGCTATAGTTGATGCTCGCGACGAGGCGGTTGCTCAGTAGGCAGCGATGCTCTTTAATGATGGTAAGGGAGTCCCTTTTATAGAATAAGCGCTTGCTCTTCAATACATGAATAATGTGCTAGAGTTGATGCTCTCTAATGATGGTGAGGGAGTCCCTTTTATAGAACAAGGGCTCGCTCCTCAATACATAAATATGGGCTAGAGTTGATGCTCTCTAATGGTGGTGAGGGAGTCCCTTTTATAGAATAAGGGCTCGGTCCTCAATACATAAATAATGGGCTATAATCCCCTAAGTATTTTTCATGAGGCCCAGTTGAGGCCCAATAAATGGTGTATAGTGTAGTCCCCCAAGTCTTTGATCAATAGAGTATGTTGGCTGGAGACTTCAAATTGAATCCATGTATGGGCCGAAATGGCGGTTGTTCGAAGACGGTATTTGTATACCATGCACTGAAGCTTTGTAAGTGAAGCTTTGAAGCTAGAGCTCTGTAAATGAAGCTTTCGAAGCTGGAGCTTTTGTAAATAAAGCTTTTGAAGTTAGAGCTCTGTAAATAAAGCTTTTGAAGCTGATTGACATGAGTGATGCTCATGAATGTTTATGTTGATTGACATGAGTGATGCTCATGGATGTTGACATGAGTGATGCTCATGAATGTTTATGTATGATTGACATAAGTAATGCTCATGAATGTTTATGTATGATTGATATGAGTAATGCTCATGTATGATTTGAAGTACTGGGCGTACTTTTGATCACCTGGTTGGTGGCATGAATGACTAGTTACCAAATGATATTAGAGTACGGGTTGTACATTTCATCACCTGGTTAGCGGCAGGTTGCCGAATAATTTTTGGAGTACTGGGCGTACTTTTGGTCACATGGTTGGTGATAATAGCGGCGGGTTGCCGAATAATTTTGGAAGTACTGGGCGTACTTTTTATCACCTGGTTGGTGGTAATAGTGGCAGGTTGCCAAATAATTGTGGAGTACTGGGCGTACTTTTGATCGCATGGTTGAAGCTGTTTTGAGCTTATGGGCCTTCGCCCTCTACATAACATTCCAGCCCATTTATTTTGGGCTTTGCCGTTTTTTTTTTTTTACCCTCTGATGGGGTTTATACAGATGTCTCCGAAAGATAAAAAATAATTTACACCATTTAGAAACAAGAAAAGTAAACCACATCATTCTGGTGGGGTGTTTATTTCTTGCTTTTGCTTTCTCTTTTGTTTTCTCTTTTGCTTTTT